TACAACTATTATTAATAAAATAAATAAGATATGTTTGATATATAAAATAAATAAAAGAAATAAACTAAATAATATATGTAAACTAAATATAATATAAAATATAGATGCTTCAAATCACATAAATGCTATATGTTTGATATGTATAACATTTCGCGCAGTAATCATTCAACCAATCAGATCGCAGCTTCCTTATTAATTTGGTTATCAGATTCGATCTTGTGATCCTATGATCGGAAATGGATGATCTATATCTCATTAGAACCATCTCAGTAAGCTGATTCGAATGGTGGTAGTTTCATCAAATTCTGTCCAGTAGTTCAAAAGTTATGGTCGTTTTTGTAGGTTAACAATAGTTTATTTTAAATAACACCTATTTACGTCTTAGCATAAGGCATCTATTCATTGATACAATTTGATGTGCTTATTTTAAAGATAACTTATAAAAATTATATTTTAAATAGCACTATCATTTACAAGGATTCGAGATAATGTACAGATAGGCACTACTTTGAGAAAATATGAAAACTATTAAAGAATTTGAGTAATTTGGATAAAAAAAAAAACTTGTAATAAAAGGGTGTCTTTTGCTGGATAAGTCTTAAGCCTTTCTCTGGCTTGAAAGAATAAATCAAAGATACAGTTTCTTGTGCACATACATCCCACAAAACAATAATACTTATTTTCTAGTTATTTAATTTAAAACTATTGTAACCAAACCTTCAGCATTTAAAAGGTTACAAAAAAAAAAGATGAATGCAGCTCGTTCTGTTTAGCAAGTGATAAATACACTCCACCTAATCTTATTGATCTTAGCTCAAGTTAGGAATATGAAAGTACTAACTCTAACAAGGACGAGAATTCAGATGATAATTTCATAGAGAATAATGATGTATTAGATAATAATAGAGGTATAAATTCAATAATTGACCATCTTCTTGCAGCTTCAAAAGCTAGTTTCGAAAAAAAGAGATGCCCAAAAATATATACTGGGCTTTCCGCATGCACTCATCAAAGAAAATAAAAGGCATTAAAAGATACTGCAATAGAAAGCTAAAAATTACTAGTTTTTTTTTTACTACTAATACTCAACTACTGGTTATTGATGATAATGAAGATATTGGAGACCATAGTTTTTCAGATAGAGAATACAGTGACAGTAAATCAGAGGATGAAGAAAGTTTGATTAATAATGCTATTAAATTTGTAAACAAAATATTGAATGAAAAGATGGTTTCAAAAACTGAAAGAACTCATTATACTGCTGTTCTTTATTTTCTTCGGTTACTGTTGGATTGTCAAGGAAAAATAGAAGCATCAGAAACAGTTGTGAAAGTAGTTAATGATGGTCTATGGCTCACAAGGTGTATCAGAAAATAGACAAACATTTGCATGAAAGGAGAGTTAATCCTACCAAGTTTAAGAGAAAAAATGCCTATAAAAAGCCTGGTTCATAATGAATTTGTGTTTTTTCAGTTGGCTGCTTACCTACAATCTCAAAAATTCAATACAACTCCTGAATTAGTTAAGAATTATTTGGATCAACACATTTTATCTCAATTAAATATTAGGCCTGTGCAATATATTTCGGTCCAGACTTCTCGTCGATAGATGCATAAGCTTGGTTTTCACTTTCAATGTTATCAGAAAGATATCTATATAAATCAACATAAATGACCAGATGTTGTTGCTTATCGTTAAATGTTTCTTGAGGAAGTTGCACAACTTAATTGCTTTATGTCTAAGTGACTTAACAAAGATTGTAAAATAAGGACTTTTCTGCAGCTAAATAATAATGAAAAAGAACATGTGTGGATAACCTATGATGAAAGTACCTTCTATGCTTATGACAGGCCACATTCTGTGTGGGGTCTGAAGTGGGAACAGCCACTACAAAAAAAAGGATTAGAATCTTGTGTGCATATAAGTGACTTTCTAACAGAAACAGTAGAGTCTCTTAAAGACAGTCAAGAACAAGCACACATTATGATGGTATTAGGTGCCAACTGAGATGGATTTTGGGATTCTGCAAAACTTCTTGAACAAGTCAGGTGGGTTATAGATATCTTTGAGTGAACACATCTAGGATGTGTGGGTGTATTTGCCTTCGATAATGCTACTTCACATACAGCTTTTGCTAAGGATGCTCTTGTAGCCTCTAAAATGAATCTTAGTCTAGAAGGATCAGCTCTGAAAATAAGAGATACAATATGGAATGGTAATCATCAGTCGATGGTTATTAAAGAAGATTATTTTGTTTATGACAAAATAAAAAAAGTAAATGTTAATTTACGGAGTTAACCTAAAGGTAGAAATGATAATACTTTTATTATATGTAGAGTTTAGGGCACAGAGGCATGGGGCATGCCCCTAAGGACATGCCTCTAGGGCATGCCCTTGTTATGTGATGTTTAAAGTTATTTTAATTGGCTAATAAGTTTAGGTAAACTAGAACTGTAGATACTAAATCAACATGTAAGATTTTTAAGAAGTTGTGAACTATGTGTTAATCACATGATTTAAAAAAGGCATGCCTATGGGCATGAGGGGCATGCCTTAGCTCAGGGGCATGCCCAATTTTTTTTCCATGCCTTAAACCCTAATTATATAGAAGTGAGTCAATATAAATGCACCAGATCTTTTTTAGTGAAATATTTTTATAGCTTTAAATGAATATTATTTGATAGGAATATATCGAAATTTAATAAAAAAGTTATTTTGTTTAAAGTTTCAAAAAAATTTACTTATAAAAAATCTGGTGCATTTCAATTGGCTCACTCTCATATATTTAAAAATAGATAGTCACAAAATTTTTTTTTTGTTTTTTATTATCTCTGTTTAAAGGGTTCTTAATGAAAGAGGATTATAGCATGATGATCTATTATAAAGTGCATTTTATATAAGAAAAAAGAGGCAGATCCTAATATTATGGACTGTTATGCATGTCGATTAATAGCCAATCAACCTGATTTCCTTGCAGAGTGAGGTCGAATTCAAACAGAAATAGAATCCAAAGGACATAAAGTTATATTTTACTCAAAGTATCACTCTGAATTCAATTATATCGAAATGTACTAGGGAGCAGCCAAAAAGTACATCTGATCACATTGTGAATATTCATTACCGAAACTTAAAAAGTCAATTATTCAGGCATTCGATTCTATTTCTATAGAGAGAATTCATTTCTTAGCTAGACTATCATTTAGATGGATAGATGCTTATTAGCATGGGTTAAAAGGTAAAGCAGCTGAATATGCAGTTAAGAAAAATAAAAAGCATAGAATGATCAATGAAGAAATTATGAATTGGGTTAATGATGAATTATTAAAATAAAAGTGAGAGCAAAAATACTTATCTTGTTTAGTTACTTAACTTTATAACTAAAATAACAATTTATTATTTGTTATTAAATAAATTTATATTGGATTTTGACATTAGACCTCTGGATAATTAGATTTCTTTAATGTTTAAAGTTTACTCATCACTAAATAAAAGCTAAATTCTTTTATTAAATAACAGTTTGATTGAATAACAAGTCAAATACTTTCATTAATAATGAGTCAAATTTTTTTGTTAAATAACAAATCAAATACTTTTATTAATAATAAGTCAAATTTTTTGTTATCAAATACTTTTGTTAATAATGAGTCAAATTTTTTTGTTAAATAACAAGTCAAATACCTTTATTATAATGAGTAAAAATTTTTTTTTAAATAACAAGTTAAATACTTTTGTTGTATAACAATTTGAATACTTTCACTAAATAATGAGTTGAATATTTTATATTCTTGCTATTTAATAACAGGCCCAACATACAATAGCTGCTCGATACATAAGTATTGAGGTGCTTTTGTCTTGAATCATTATTACCTAATTGAACATGTGATCACATGTTTGTTCTTGAATCTGATCAGTTATAAAAGTATGATATATTGATCAGTTTTGATTGTTATTGCTGACATAAGATAATTGAGTATAAGATATCGAGTAATAGTATATCTGGAAATAGAAATAGCCAATTTTGTCTTTTCTGTGAACTTGACTTTTGTTCTGGTTAAATCGACCTTTCCATCTTGCCTGAAATGCTTATTGATAGATAATTTGAATGGCCTGCTGTAATGTTGTCAAATGTCTTGTATATTAGAATTGTCGCATCTATTATATTATTTATTATATCAAGTAATAAATTATATAATAAAAGAAGGTGACAATTACCAATATGCAAGACATTTGACAACACCGTTAGGATGATAGCCAAATAAATTGCATGACTGGATGTTATTATAGTAGTAGTAGAAGTTGATAATGTGGCCTATTGTAACAACAGCTACACCGAAAAAAAAATGACATGTCAGGATGATAGTCAAAAGTGAAGTAATAAAGTTAAAAAAAAAAACTGTTGTTTAAAAGAATCAATAAGTTACAAAACTTATTCTTTAATCTGCTAGTGCATGAATTTAAATCTTAGCCAATCAGAATGAATAAAAAATTTTATCATGTTTATGCATAACGATAATGTTTTACTGTGAAATTGATGCTTTATAATATTGAATATCTTATACTATCTAACAAAAAATTGGCACTTTATAATAGATTGGATATCTTTTATTACTTGGCAAAATTGGCATTTTGAATAAAGAATTAAATGTCTTTTACTATCTAGTCAAATTGGTGCTTAATATATAGATTGGATGTCTTTTAATGTCTGGTACCATATATATAAAATAATACTTCTAGTTGTTCAAGGCACAATAATACTTGATCAATATAAACAACTTCAACTAATTCTAAAATAAGTAGCTGTGCAATATTGTTATATAAAACCAGAAATGAGAGAAATCTACACAGGCATTATTTTAGTCATAAGAAATAATATTCTTTATTGTGATTCATTTCTGATATAGAAAAATAACTCTTTATAAAAGAAGTTAATAGTATTTGCAATTTGAATATTGGTTTGAATTTTAGTAACTGAGCCTAAAAACCTATTAATGAAGTCAATGTCTGACTGCTATATAGTTAGTTAGCTAGCATAACTCAGTTTTGATAAATCTGATTCAAAATTTTAAGGCCTTGCAAAAAACATTAAAAATCTATGAAACATATCTGTATTTATAAATAATCAACAAATTCTTCTTTGATGATCAGTAATTATTATTTTATCTGCCTGATAAAAAATTTGATAAAAAAAAATATAAATTACCAAATATTTAGCAGTGAGACCTTTAAATTTATATTGAAACACTAATTTTTGTGCCTAAAAATCTTATTTTTACTATCAATTGTTATAGCATCTTTGATTTTACAGATGTATACACTCATTTAGAGTTTTTTTGAAAATATTAAATGATGAATAAGTCATATGCACTAATCAATTTCAAGATTTTGCATACAGAGGCATTTGTTCCTAATACCTACCTTTAAAGTATTGTTTAGGGTGCTACATAAAGTCATGATAACAGATTACCCAATCATATGCTGAGAATCACACAAATATATTAACTTGCCTGTAAACTATACACTACATTGTACATTGTACAAACTCTGTTCCTGGTAAAACTAACTAACAAGTTTTTTATCTTCTTATTTAACTCTTTACTTAACTGGTTCAACTTTACTATCTGGTAAACTCAAAATACCAAACAATATAAATAGGAATCAACATAAAGAATTACTACTCTTACTAAAAGAAAAAACAATGTTCAATTATCTATTATATAATCTTCTAACTTCAATAACAATATATTTGCATTTAATACTAATCTAGACTAATATATTTTTAAAACTCTTTCTTAAAATTTTATTATATATACCTGCTTTTACTAATTAAAATAATCTTAAGAATTCCTTTTACTCTTCTCTGTAGTTAATGATTATGATAATTGATTTAACTAAAACAGAAAATTAAAAATTAATATTATGCTAAATAGTATTATATATATAGCAACAATAGTGTAATTTAGGAATATTTTATTTATATATTTATATCTAATTGATATATCTATGTATTATTATTTTTCCTACTTAATATTATATAATAATAATAAAATATATATATTCAGATATGATTCAATGCTTGATTACAAAGTTGAATATAAAGACCAATTCTGTAACTCTTTCTATAGATCACTTGTACCAAATTTTTGCTAAAAACATTTAATTATTTCTCAATATTTTATTAAGTAAACCTTATTTGTACTTCTAAGTAAAGTTGCTCAACACATTAGCTTCAAAAAACAAATTAGAAAGCTTAATATTTTATATCTTGAATAACTTTGTACAGCTGACAACACCACCTTACTAAAATGAAAACATCTCTCACCACAACTGTTATACTTATCTAGAGGCTATAAACCATTATGGTTTACTTACTTAGAAGATACTGTAATGGCCCATAATAGCTTCAGAATCCTTCTTCCACACTACCAACAACCAGAATACAATTTATTTGCATACAGTTCACAACATATTTCTAAAAAATCTAAATTCTAGTTGCTTACATATACTGATAATAAAATTATTATTGGCAAAATCTGCAGACATTACAAAAACACTAATCAAATATCTATTACATACTGGCAAACAAACATTGATATAAATCACTCTGACTACTATTCCCTTTTATCAACCCAAAGCTTACCTTGCCTAGGCTGTTATCTAAACTCCAACAGAATTCAGAATTTATGTACAATTAATGTATTAGCAATCATCTTCTCTTAATTCCTAGGAAAAGTCAGTTCTAACTTATTAAACTTCAATGCCAACTATATTAACCTTATTTATTTAATAGCTATCAAACATCTACTATTAATTTCTCCAGTATTAACAATTTCAATTCCCAACTTTAATGTTTTTGAAATATTTAAAACTAGTAAAGCAGCAAACATACTTAAACAATATTCAATTCTTAATAGTTCTTAACAACAACTTAACTTTTATACTGATGGTTTAGTAATTAATATTGGAACTGACCAATGTACAATGGGCATTGGCTAGATTCAGATCAATAATAATAATCAAATTATTCACAAGTTTTCTGCTAAAATTAACTTCTGGCCATCATTCTACAAAGCAGAACTGATAGCAATTCTTTTAGCTATTTCCACTACACTCTGAAATGCAATAGTCAATATTTTTACAGATTCTCAATCTATTATTACTAAATATACCAACATCTATACTACACTCTCCAATTTTAATAAACTTTTTAAAATTCAATACATGGCCTATATGGCATACCTTACTGAATATTATTAAATCTTATAACCTTCAAATCAACTTTTATAAAGTACAAGCTTATA